AGAGAAAATGGCTGAGGTTGGCGTTTCTTCACTGGGCATGGGGCTCTTCTCTGGCTCTCCCCCATCTTCTCTCTCCACTGATCGGATCCAGGGCTCCAACTGATTTGCTATAACAGGTGATGGTGTTGGCCAGGTGATGAGAAGCAACTGGATTCGGCAGACTTTTCTCAGGAGTACCCGTGGCTCGAATCTCAGGGTGGTGGGGGCTTGCAGTCATCTTCAGAGGGGGGCCCGGATTCATGAACCTGAGTCTCCCCTCAGACTGACTTTCACTCTCCCACCAGCACATGCCTACTCACGCAGAGAGTCTTAATGGACACAGTCTGACTTGTTCAGTCACCATCTTGTCCTGTCCCCATTACACTGATTTTCATAATGACTGTAATAATTTACAGTCCCACCAATAGTATGTAAGTATTCCTTTTTCTTCACATCCTTTCCAACTTATTTTGTCTTTTTGATAATAATCTTTCTAATTGGAGTGAGGTAGTATCTTGCTGTGGTTTTGATTTGCATTTCCCTGATGATTAGGATGTTGAACATTTTTTTCATGTACCTATTGGCCAAATATATGTCTTCTTTTGAAAAATGTCTTTAAAAAAAATGTCTTTTGCCCATTTTTACATTGGGGTTTTTTTTTTAGTCGTTGTTTAAGTTCCTTATATATTCTGTATATTAGCATCTTGTCACATGTATAGTTTGCAAATATTTTCTCCCATTCTGTAGGTTGAATCTTTACTCTGTTAATTGTTTCCTTTGCTGTGCAAGAGCTTTCCAGTTTGATGTAATCCCTTCATTCTTGTTTTTGTTGTCTGTGCTTTGAAGCATTATTAAAAAAACTTTGCCTAACCCACTGTCACAAATAATTTACCCTGTGTTTTCTTCTATTAGTTTCATAGTTTCATGTTTTGTATTTAAGTATTTAATACATTTGAGTTGATTTTTATATATGGTGAAAAGTAGTGGTCTACTCTCATTCGTTTGCATGTGGCTATCCCCTTTTCCCAACACCATTTATTGAAGAAATTGTCTTTTTTTAGTGTGTGTTCTTGCTGTCTTTGTAGAAAATCAGTTGGCTGTAGGTGCATGAATTTACTTCTGGACATTCTAATCTGTTCCATTGGTCTGTGTGTCTCTTTTATGCCAATATCATGGTGTTTTGGTTACTGTAACCTTGTATATTTTGAAGTCAAGTAATGTGATATCTCTAGCTTTCTTCTTTTTGCTCAGTATTGTTCAGGCAATTTGGGATCCCTTGTGGTTTCATATGAATTTTATGCCTGTTTTTTCTATTTCTGTGAAGAATGTCATTGGTATTTTGATAGAGTTTGCATTAAACCTGTAAATTGCTTTGGGTAGTATGGCCATTTTAATAATATTAATTCATTACTATATTTTTGTGAGTTATTTTTTAGTGGTTGATTTAGGGCTTACTATATATCTCTTAACTTATGACTCACTCACTTCAGATTTAAACTGACTGAATTCCATTAAGGTATAGAGGCCGATTCCTGTATTTTCTATTCCCTTTCACCTTTTAAAATTCTGTTATTGTTCATATCATGGCTCTATGTGGACATTGCTGTAATTATTACTTTACATATATAAATTGATATATTTTTTAAAAGCTGAGAGAAGATATATATTTTTAATGCTTATAATTGGAATCTTTTTATTTATCTTTTTTTGTCCTTTTCATGTGTTTCTGTGGATTTGAGTTATCATCCGATATCATTTTCTTATGCCAAATGCAACTTTTCTTTCACCATATCCTTGGTGCTGTTATTGGCAGTTATATTACATTTTTGTATATTGTAAGCCTAACAATACAATTGTATACACATTATTTTAAAAATTGCTTTTAAAATCTGTTATAAGGAGAAATATGCATTTTAATACTGTCTTTTATAATCACACAGTTCTCTTTCCCAATGCTTTTTGTTTATGAATTTGAATTACTGTCTAGGGTCACTTGCTTTCAGCCTAAAGTACTTATTTTAGTATTTAGTGAAAGCTGCTTTTGCTATCAACAGATTCTCCCAGTTTTTGTTTATATGACAGTATCTTTATTTTGTCTTCATTTTTTTGAAGGATAGCTTTGATGGATATAGGATTCTTGGTTTTATAGCTTTTATTTTTCCTTGAACCCTTTGTGATATACTTCATTTTGGGGGGAATGATAAATCAACTGTTAATCTTCTTGTGGTTTCCTTATAAGTGATAAGACATTTTTCTTTTGGCATCTTTCAAGATCGCTTTTTTTCCCCTTTGACTTTCAGCATTTTAACTATGATGTGTCTTTGTGTGGATCTCTTCACATTTATATTTGGAGTTTGTTGAGCTTCTTGGATATGCGTATTAATGTTTTTAAAATCAAATTTAGGGAGTTTTCTTTAATTTTTTTCTGCTTCTTTCTCTCTCTACTTTCTATTGCGCCATTGCACATATGATGGTGTACTTAATGGTGTTCCTCATTTTTCTGAAGTTTTGTTATTTTTAATTTTCTTTATTCTTCAGATTGCATAGTCCTTATCAATCTGTCTTTAATTTCTCTATTTTGCCAACTTAGGTCTACTGTTAATCCCTGTAGTGAATTTTTATTTTTACCTATTGGATTTTTCAGTCCCATAATTTGCATTTGGTTCTTTTTAGATTTCCTGTCCCTTTATTGATATCATCTATTGATGAGATTAACTCTTCCTTTAGTTTTCCTTTAGTTTTTAAAATATATTTATATTGGTTAATTTGTAAAGTCTGACATCTGCTTGCTTTCAGCAAGTAGTTTCTCTTGCCTACTTTTTTTTCCCTGTGTGTATGTCACTTTTTCGTTGAATGTGTCATTTTTTGTTGTGTTGTTGAAAACTCTTTTAATATATGTGTTAGGAACTCTGAGCACTGGTCTTCTTACTCATGGGCTTGCTATTTTTGTGTGTTTATTTGTTTAATGATTTGCTAGAGTATTTTAGTGATGTCTGTTTTCCTCACCTCCACACACTGAAAAGTCTCACATGTTGCTCCTTAGAGAGTATGGCTTTGGGCATATGCACAGTAATCCTGGGATGACAGTGGTTTTCCCAGGACTCTACCTAATTTTTTGATCACACCTCTCTGTAAGTTCCACTAACTTTTGGAAAAATTCTGTATTGTTTTCCACAATGCACCTGGGTTTAAATTTCTGCACAGACTGATCCAATTAAATTCCAACTCATTTTCAGGAGTGGTTTGAGGTTAGTGTTTTAATTTTGTTCTGACCACAGACAGGTTCTTTTCAACTGTCTCTTTTTTGGTTTTCGATGGCATACTATCTAGGCTTATGCCTATAATGAGACCACCAGTCTCTTTTTATTTGCTTTCCACCAAAAGCCTTCATTATTGTTTAGGACATTAGTCTTGATTTTCCCCATCTCTATGTCAAATACAATTAATTTCTTTAAGGGAGAGTTTTGGAGCTATTTCATGCCCTGCCTTTCCCCTTGGGTAAAGCTCTGAAATCTATAATCATGCTACCTTTCTTATTGTTGATAATGGAAATTTGTGTTTCTGCCTTTTTATCCTGATTTCCTGATTAGTTTGACTAAAAGTTTTTCAATTTTATTGGTCTTCTTAAAGAATTAGCTTTTAGTTTTCTTGATTACTTCTTTTTTATTTTTGTTTAATTGGTTCTTTGATCTTAATAATTTTGTTTCTTCTGCTTATTTTGGTTTTAATTTCCTCTTCTCTTTCTGGTATCTTAAGGTATAAGCTGAAATCTCAAATTTTTTCTTCTTATTTTTTTTTGTTTTGTTGTTAGATTGGAAAGCACAGTTTATTTAGAAAGTAGATTAGAGAGAGAGAGGAGATTCACCTTCCCAAGGTAGAGGAGGAGGCCAAAGCTTAGGGAAGCATGACCAGACCAGTTTAACAAAAGCAAATGGTGGCCAAGCAAAGGCCTCTTTCTTCATTTCTAATCTAGATATTTAACTATAAATTTCCTAAGTACTGCTTCAGTGGCATACCACAAATTCTATATGTTGTGTTTTCATTTTCATCCAGCTCAAAATTCTTTCCAGTTTTCCTTTTTTATTTTCCTTTGATCTATGGATTATTAAAAAATTTAGTATTTGGTTTTTAAATATTTTGGAATTTTCCAGAAGTTTTTTTTGTTATTTATGTCTGATTTAATTCTGTTGTGGTTAACAACAACAACAAAAAACTAAACCAAAGCAAGCCAAAACAAAACATACTTTGTATGTCTTGAATCTTTCTAAGGTTATGAGGACTTGTTTTATAGATAAAAATATGGTGAATTTTGGTCTGTGTTCCATGTACTCTTAAAAAGAATGTGTATTCTGCTGTTGCTAGTTGGAGTGATCTATAGATGCCAATCATAGCAAGTTACTTGGTAGTGTTGTTCAGATGTCCTATATCCTCGCTGATTTTCTGTTTAGTTATACTGTCAGTTACTGAGACTGTAACATTGTAATATTTTATTGTCTACAAAGCCTGGGACAGAACCTTGTACTGTAAGTGCTTTGTGAGTGTTGAATTATGTCTCTTACCTCTTCTCTTTTGATCTCAGTCATCATAGTGACTATTTAGCGAAAAAATGATGGCAGTGTGAGAACTATTGTTTTATGTATTTAGCTGACCTTAGTGTGTATTTGAAAGTTATATTTAGATGAGATGCCTTTTCGGTGAAAACATCCACGCTTTTGCTTTTTGTTTGATGTATTTTATTTGGAAACAGTTATAACAATAATTAATCTGTGTGTGCCATAAATGTCTCTGAAGTTTAGCTATAAATTAAAATTGTGATTCAAATATCATTGAGCTTTGCTTTGACTAGGCACATACAATACACATTTAATAAAGGTTATATTATTTTAAAAGTTTTTAATTTTCAAATACACTCATACTTGTTACCAAATGCATGCCATTTCTGTTTATCTTGGGACGTTAACTGTTTAACTTTTTCCCCTTATGATAGTCATTTAGATAACTTATGTGATTTTTTTTTTCAGAGTCATAAACATTCTACATGTATACGGCCATTTCTTCCTTATTTCAATGTGTCACAACAGTTTGCTACCTTTGTTCTTAAGGGATCTTTTGTAAGTAATATGTGTGACTATTATTTTGGTTTTGATTTGAAAATTTATGTATTCTATCACAGGCAGCAGTTCTTAAGTGAAGTGAAGAATATTACGAACTATTATCAGTTTGTATATGAATGGACAAAGGCCCTCATGTCTTCTATCTCCTGATTGACCTTAATTAAAGAGGGCAGAACCAATAGGAGGCAAAGCTCTCTGTGGCTCAAGGAGCACTTAGAAAAGCCTCTTGCAAGAAAGTTGTTCTTGATGGTGGAAGAAAACTTTTAAACATTTATCTTTATATTGAAAAATTTAAAAAAATACACCAGATTCTTGTTGTTTTCATCAACTGTTAGATTTGAATTGAGAAAATGCAGTACCCTTTCTGATTATTAATGGCATAATAATTATTTTTAATACCAGAGAATTCTTAAAAAGTTCTTCCACTGGTATAATAGTGATTATTTTTGAAGCAAAAACACTAAGGTCTGTTTAAACATTTGCCAAAATTCTTTAGCATTTATAGAAAATAAAGTATTTGCTTGAACAATGTTTTCCTATTTTCAAAAGTGTTACTATTTAAACATTGAGGTGATTCTTTTGGTGAATAGATATAGCATGCACATTGTCAATGGCTCATTCTTATTGCTACTGTTCTTGTAAATTCTCATGGAGGATATGATGAATCCCTCAGCCATGCTCTGTTGTCTTTTCTTTCCAGAGTAAAATACCGGAGCTGCAGGTGTGGTATACCAAACTTGGAAAATCATCTGAACGAGTTCTTTTTAAGCAACTGGATTCCCTATGGGTAGTTTTAAAATAAATTCCTATATTTGGGGTATTGTAACAATAAAACAGTGAAAAGGAACAGAAATTTGATTAATGAATTGAGAATTTTTAATTTATTATTGATTTTATGACTGAATCATAGTGGAGATAAAGTTGTTTGCAAATCTTTTTCTTTTTCCTTTAGGTAGAAATTATCTTCAAGGCAGCACAGAAGTTTGTGTGTTTATAGGTGTGCTTTGCCCTTAAATATTTAGCCTGTGTTTTGGTTGGATGGTGCCACCATCACGTGGCTGCCTTGGCCAGAAGTTTGACTTTCGTTTGAGACTCTGTGTTTTCCCACTCAGCCTCTCTATCCTGCCAGTAGTTGAGTGTAGACAATTCCATCCACATGTTTCTCTTACCTATTCTTTGTTCTCCATTCCCGCTGCTCCTGCTTGCCACACTGCTACTGAATGATGAGTCTAAGAGACAGGTCTGATTTTTGTCAGCAGTGTGCTCAGAGTGCCTCAGCGACTCTTTCCTGAAAGTTCATGTAGCTTAGCATAGTACATGACCCATATCACCCCCTCATGAGGTGGAAGACTGCCTTCCTTCCGAGGTGTATATCCCATGAAATGGGCCTCTTCACAAACAGAACTTCTTACGTTTCAAAGTGTGGCATGCCTGTTCATTTACGTTGTGACTTGGCACATATTTTTCCTCCTCTTAGAACAACTTCTTCTCATATCTTTGTCATCTTCTGAGACTCAGTTCAAGCATCCTTTCCACTGAAGCTTTTCCCACCAGTCTTAGCTCATACTTGCTTACATCCATGTACTCACTAGTTAAACTCTTTTCCTGCTACATTGTACACCTTGAAAACTGGGATCCTTTAATGCCTGGCACCCACTGCAGTGCTATGCCTATAGTGGTTTCTCAGGAAAGATTTCAAAGAATGAATTGGCCCAAGCAAATATATTTCTTCACCTAATTGACACAAATCTGTTAGTTTGTCTGGTTGTTATTAATGCTCTGATAATCAGCTCGTCACTATTAATGATAGAACACCTGTTATATATTAAGTTCTAAAAGAGAACAGTTTCTGCTTTTTGTATAACAAATTACTAGGAATAGCATGATGAAGTTGATATTCCCCATCGGAAAAATAATATCATTTCAGGTTATTCCTGAGCCTGAATATAGCATCAGATATTTTATACACCTGGCAATCAATTTACTGTTAAAGCAATTTACTATTAAATCATAACTCCTTTAATTCAAAGTAGAAAAAAACCCAACGTTTCATAAAATAGGCATATGTTTAATGTCTCCATTAATTATGCAAGAGATTCCAAGCTCCTCAGTTAGCATTGAGCAACTATGATATGGGAGTGCTTCGTACACTGAGCTAAGCACTTTAAAAACATTATCTGGTTTAATCCTCACAATAGCACTATGAGATATGTATTTTTTTCCTCATTTTGTAGATGAGGAAATTGTGGCTTAAAGAGATTAAGTTGCTGGGATCATAGTGTGACAGAAGCCTGCCTTGCTAGTTGAAATGTATATTGAACATATAATGAGCAAGATTTGAGCCAACAGTGTTTCTACTCGAGTCAAGTTCTAAGAGAGAAGCAAGCAGGTCTCTTAGCTGCACACATTGAATGTACACAAGCTGAACTTACAGCCTCAAGGAAAGGCTAAGAGAGATAGGCTTTGGGATCACCTGGCCCTTCTTCCTTCCATGAAGTGAAATTCTTTAAAGATCCTTCCTGTGAAGTGTAGTTTCATAACATCTTCTAATATCCTTAAGAAACATGATTCTGAGGACCATGGTATTGGTGAGGCTTTTGCAAGTGTTTAGGAAGTCCTGACAGAAATGAGTTGGGCTTTTCTTTAAGTTTTTTTTTTTTTTAAGTGATTTTGCCCTAAAGAAGTGAACTGTGGTACCTGGCTCCTGAATACGGTCCTGTCTTGCTTTTCAGCTCCTGGACAGCAGAGGTAGCTTCACACTAAAACTGCAGGAGGATGAGCTATTCACACTCACCACTCTTACCACAGGCCTCCGAGGCAGCCACCCACCTCCTCCACAGTCCCAGTCCTTCCCAAGTTCCTACAAGGATGATTTCAACATTGGTATGTACTTTTCACGAAAACCTACCTTGGTCTCCATCTTTATTGGTAGTGGGTCAGTGTCTTCCTGTCAGCTGGGTACATGACAAAGTGTCTGTCATAAGCACGTTCACTTAGCTCTTGAATCTACATGGTGACAGGAGACCCTGATTTTTTAATTACTTCAGGGTGAGTCTCAATTTGAGGACCTTGTGATTTTCAGTGCCAGGAAAATGTAGAGGTCAGTCAGAATAAAAGTTTTCATTCTGACTTGTTTTTGGTGAAATGTAAGCTCTGTAACTTTGCTAGTGCTCATTTGCCATTGCTGACATCTTCCTTTTGTGTGGAGGTTGAGGCACATTCATCTCTGACTTCCCATGGTGCTGCTGCACTGAGTGCTTATGGGAAGGTCTCATTGTGTCTGAGAGTCCTAGAAAGATCTATCCTAAAGTTGTCAGGATAGTTTTTGGTTATAGGTAATTTAGGAAACCATTTGGAAAAGAAAATTAGGAGTTATTCTAGTTTTATTCTTAAGTCATTCAGTAAACAGACAGTTGTTGACTGGCAAGTATGTGGACTATGTAGGATTATGGCATTCATGGACAGGGTCAGTTAGTTCTGTAATCTGTGGCTATAAGAGAGTAATAGGGAGGGAACTGACATTGCAGAAGTGTCACCGTCACTTGAACCTCCTATTGGCTGCAGAGGTGCTTGTTCTAGCAAAGATGGACACTCCTTCCACCCCTCCTGGTCCTTGCTGCAGGCTTCTGGCTCCCTTTCTCAGGAAATTATTTGCTAATTGATTGGAGTCTAAGTCCCTTTGTATTGTGTACCTGAGTCCTCTCATTTGTTTGGATAATATGGAAAGCAGTGACTCTCAGGGAAGCTTGTTGGCTTGTTTACCTACAACTCTGAAATAGCCTCTTATAGAAATCCATTAATTTTGCAAAACACAGGTGTTTTCACAATCTGTTGTTCAGTTCTGCGTGGATGAAGGTGAGTCTTCTTGCCTTCACTAGGTGTGGAATTCCCATGGATGTTGTGTAGTTAATGAAACTGAAGAACTTCTGTCAGCACCAGAACTAGTAACTCTGTGACCTTGAAGACTAAGAGGCAATTCTAAACTTTCAGATCTAAAATGTAATAATGCTTTATTGGGTATAAAATGAATTAAAAACTTAAGTTCACAATTATAAGCCAGGCTCTGGAATTACTTGAAAGGGTTTTTCATCTCTCAACTGAGGTAGAGAGGTGAGAACACTTGGAGAAGCATGAAGCATGAAGAGGAAATAGCTGGAAGGAATCATGACTAAAATTGCTCTTCTATAGCCTTCATTATTGTAGGACAACTCTTTAGTAAAACTGAAAAGGGATTGATAGGCAGGGCCCTGAACTTTCTTGCCCAGTTTAGAAGCAGAAAAAAATCCATGAATCCTACTTAGTATAGTGTTAGGTTGGTGCGTTGTTGTCGTGGGAAAGATGCAAAGAAGTGCGCAAGGAGTAGTTTAGAAAAAGTGTGTTTAGACAGTAAATTAGAGAAAAAGGGTAGATCCACCTACTCAGGATTGAAGATGGGCCAAGCACCGAGGAATCTTCTGGCCCTGAATGTTTGAAGCTGATGCTTAGAAAGCTTCCTTAGAAGGCTGGGAACAGAGCATTCGCGGGAAATAAGGGGGGAGGGGTGGCGGTGGGTGTTGTCATGGAGATTGGCTATTCAGGACAGCAGCAGCCAGATAGTTGTTTAGTAGGCAGGGAGAGTAGGCCAAGGTTTGTAAAACAAAGTTTCAAGACACAAACATAAGTTTTGAACGTCCTTGGATTTAGGAACAAAATGACATTTAGCTGGGAGTGTGCCTTTCATGGGAAAATTGTAGGAGGGCTGGAGCCAAAAATGCGAGCCAACACCAGCTGCCTGCCTGCAGTGGCCGAGATAACCCCATTTTTTTGGTCCTCTCAGTAAACCTCTTTCATGGTCTCTCTGCTCATTACTGTGACCAGTGGTTTGGAACCGTGCCTGACAAATGTTAGAAATAACAAAACTATCCCCCATCGTGCCCTTGCCAGGTACCGGCTCATGTGCACACACCATCTTCTCATTTCATTATCCTGTCCTCCTGCCCACCTAGAAATGAAGACACTTGACGAGATCGGGTGCATTAAGGGTGGATGGCAGGAGACAAAAGAAACATGAGATGCAGGGCAGCTGAATAACTTGCCTAGGGTGGCAGACTGAACTAGCATTTGAACCTAGGTCTGACTCACTCTCAAACTCATGCTGATCCCTCTTCACCAAATCCATGGATCAAATATTACTCAAAGTCTGTATGTCAGACCCATGACCTTGATATGCAATAGTAATGGTATAAAAATCATCATCTTTTGATTAGGCATGGACCCCAAACTTTGACAAGTGGTAAGTATTTTTTATTTATTTGAAAACCTTCTAAAGTGTTTCGAAACATGCCGTACAACGTCAGGGAGGAGAGATTCTGTGGGAGTTTGGTACTAACAGAGACTGTTGTGTCCTGCACAGATTACCCATTTTTTAGTGAAGCTCCGTACTTTGCTGACCAGACTGGTGTGTTTGAGTACTTCACGAACATCGAAGACCCTGGGGAACATCGCTTCACACTGCGCCAGGTTCTCAATCAGCGGCCCATCACCTGGGCTGCCGACGCATCCAGCACTATCAGTGTCATAGGAGATTACAACTGGTATGTAAGGTTGGTGCCCACACTGTGGCTCTGGGTGGTAAACCATGGAATGTTTTCAGGTGCATTTTGAAGCAGAGTTTTCAAGGGTCCTCCTTGTCCAGGAACCTAATAGATGTGTAATAGTGGTGAGTATCACAGTTACCACAAAGCTGCAAACTATTTTTTTGCTGCCTCTGTGTTGTTCCCTCATATTTACCCCATTAAGTAGTGATTATTGCAGGAGTGATTTGATTTTAATATAAAAATTGAAGACTTTTAGACCCAATTATAATTTAACATTTATTTATAAATAGACTTTGTGACATAAGTGTTGCTTTTAAGTTTTTGTTTTGCTGGAGAGTTGATTTGTTGATCTGCTGTTGCCATCTACTGGGATGATAGCAGAATTACAGCCTTAGTGTTTGCCAAAGATCTATTTACTGAGTAACAGTAGATGGCAATAGCAAAAAGCAAGTCAACTTCCATTGCCTGGTGAATTTAATCCCTTTTTTAGGTATCTGGTAAAGAGACAAGTTGTAGTTCTTACTCACATAAATATAATGCCAAGCCAAAACTTGACCTTGCACTTTAATTTAGTTATAGAATTTCAGTGTGCTGCCTTATTCTATTTTAAGTGTTTCTTTTCCATCTTTTCTTAAAACTAGTGTATTCCACTGTGGACACACACATACAAGCACACACACACATTCCAGGTTGAGAAGTAGTACTAAGAAAGTCAACCCACCAAACAGCTGTATGTGATACTTGGAAATTGGACAAGGTAGAGACTAATTCTGGAAAGAACCTGGAATTGCCTGTCTGTGTGATGTCCAAGAAGTCTAAGTCTTTTTTCTTTCTGCAGTCCCTTACTCTCAGTGGTAAATCCCAATTCTAGTCCCAGGCTCTGCCATAAGTCTTGAGACACCTTCAGTTGTCCAGAGTCTTTGGAACCCTTCAGCACGATGGAGAATTATCAACGTGCACTGAAGAATTCTTGCCTAAGTTAGGATGACTTTGGTGACTAGGACTCCAGAAAACTGAGATTCCCCTTCAGAAAGATGAGATGTAGCATCCAAAGATTAAGCCCTCTCCCCCAATATTCATCTATGTGAAGGTTTTACACAATTTAAATAGCAATACTAAACCTTTATGAGCATCTATTGCAGTGAGTCTGGGGGTGGGGAAGAAGAGAATGTGGATGGAGGGGAAAGATGACCTGTTCTGGAAGGAGAGGAACCAACCTGTCAGAGTTATGAGTGTCAAGAAAGTACTCTGATCTTTCTAAAGCCCTGTTCATAATGTACTCCACTGCTCAGGAACATGCAATGACTTTCCCCCTTTCCCCTGCTCTAAGTCAGCTCTACACTTCTATGCCTGACTTCCAAGGTCCTTTTCATCTATCTATTATGTGTCATTTCCCAATATTCCATCCTCCATTCGAGGCAGCCAGCTCTGCTCAGATATGTACAGGTCCCATGTTCTCTACTGTTGTCTGACTGCTGTGCCTCCTTGTGGGCAAAGGAGGGAATGAAACTGGGTACTACTAGACACTCTTATGGCAGAGATATCATATCCACTCTGTAGAAAGAGAAACAGACTTTGGAGTAAGATTTACTCAAGAGCCTATGCTCAAAAGTAGCAGGACAGGGCTGGAAGCCAGGACCGTCTTGCTCTATAGCCTGTGCCATTGGGACCATAGCTCACAACCTCACTAGAATCATCTTCTTCCACCTGCTAGTTGGAGAGGGGACACAGACCACAGCTCACAGCCTCATGGAACCATTGTCTTTCTCGTGCTGGTCAGAGAGAGGAGATTCCTTTTGTTTACCTGCAGTACTGTTCTAGTTAATCAGCTCTCAGGGGTGCACTGTGCCAGCAGTTCTTAGAGTTGTGTTTGAGTAGACTTCCTCTTCATACTTAGATTTAGTTAAGTGTCAGCACGGTAATTTGACTTTCCAGGTAGACTTTACTTAAGCTAGCTACTTGGCTTTTTATCTTGTTCTTGAGCTTTGGAATCTAAAGCCAGTCACAAAATTACCTTTCTTTGCACAGACCTGAACTCTCCCTTTGATAAAATTGGCTTGATATATTGGCTGGTTTTTATTCTCTTAGAATGATTGAGAGATTGTGGCTGTGAAAGAATAAACCACACTTTTATTTCATTCACTAGCCACAAAATTTCCTGACAAGTTCTGATGTAAGGATCACTTATTCTGGAATGAGATGTATAAAAAAGGAAAAAATATGATCTTCTCTCATTCCAACTTTAGGTAGAATAATTTTAGGTGCTGACAGTAACTGTAGCACTTTATGACTTCTGATGAACGGGAGAGGGGCCAGGGATATAATAACAGCCAGCGCTGATCCTTAGTACTTTTCTGCTGGTGGTAAATCCCCTCCTGATGTCAGAGGATGTGCATATGAGAGAGCCATGCAGCAACTGGTCTTCCTGTAAAGTAACCTGGCTCAGATTAGATAATTAAACGAGGATCGTCCACGTTGTGCCCCTGTTGTTGTTCTTTTTTATATTTTCCTTTATGTAGTAAAACTTAACTGTGCAAATTTCATGGATAAGAAGTTCTAAGAAATGTGAAAGCAACATAATTCTAAATTCTATTCCATCCCTGTCCAAAATAGGTTTCTTGGTCTTCTTCATCTTACATTAGATCAATTGCTTGCCTTATTAAGGCTGTGTGCAGGCCCTGTTTCTCCTTTTCACTTGCAGTTAGATATTGAGTAGGAAGTGAATCTTTTTCTGAAATCATGCTGGCTTGGGGTGGTTGTGTCATCCTAGAAGGTAAGTGTTGTGCCTGGTAGTATTTTAGAAGGAACCTGGAGGACAGCTCCTTGTAAAAGCTCTGGCAGACCCTGGCTGGCAGAGTCTCTTCTCTCCTTTGTTTACTCCTGTGGATCATGGGCCCTGAACTGGGGCTGCCTCTGTATAGACAGAGATAATCTGGGGAGAAATGGTTCTCCAAGCGGCATCCCTAAACCAGCAGCCTCAGCATCACGAGGGAACTTGTAAGAAATGCACATTCCAGGGCTGTCCGGACCTGCTGAGTCAGACACTGTGGGACTGAGTTTAACAAGCACTCCAGTGATTTCAGTGCTGCCCATTTGAGAAGTCCTGCCACAAAGTCAGCCTAGGGATGACTCTGCAGAGAAATACTTTCAGGCCTTTTTTAATCTTGTCAGATTTAAATGTAAAAATTGGCCCTGAAGTGGCTTGTGTTCTACATTGTCTTCGTTGCTTCCCTTTGTTGACAGAAATTTGAATAAACCATTTTCTTCAGGATTGTCTGGAAATTTCTGCCTTTTACGTGTTCATAGAAAAAAGTGGCTTTTTTCAATATTCTATTCTTAAGGAGAAGTTGTTTTACTATAGAGAGGAAGTAAATATTTTCTTAAGAAACTTAAAAGCAAATAATTATCATTGTCTAGTAACCCATTTAAAAAGGCAGTGGAATGACTTGAGTCATGTAAAGCTTAAAACTGTCATCAGTGAAGATTCCAGAAGTCCATCCCTGCTACAAGCTCAGACTTAGCAAATCATTTTCTTGCCTCAGTTAGAAGTTTGGAAACATCCTGCAGAATGACATATTTGTGCTACATTAGGAACAGTGTAGCTTAAGAGTCTAATCAGCTGTTTAATTCTGCAGGACCAATCTGACTATCAAGTGTGATGTTTACATCGAGACCCCTGAGACAGGAGGTGTTTTCATTGCAGGGAGAGTAAATAAAGGTGGTATTTTGATTAGAAGTGCCAGGGGAATTTTCTTCTGGATTTTTGCAAATGGATCCTACAGAGTTACAGGTGATCTAGGTAAGTGGCATTTTCAAATAGAATAAGACTGACTTTGCATAGCATCTGTTACTCTGAGCACCTGCTTGTTCTTTGTGGGAATGATGAAAGGGTCAGCCCAAGGTGCACGGACAACTAGTTGGAAAGAGTTTCAACACATGTGAGCAACCACCAAAAACTTCAAAATTATGGAGAGTTAATTAATTTGTACAGAGATGGACAACACTGTAAAGCAGATGATAACTGTACAAATCTCTTTAGGGTATTATTGTACAGGTGAGCTAGACTGTGAGGGTAGGATTTGTGTAGACTGCAGCAAAATCTCACTAGGGTGGGGGGTGCTGGTAGGAACAGAATGCTCAGAAAGCACCATAAATAAAGCAAGATGGAAAGAACGTTGCTATGGTGCTCATGGAAATATAGTGGAAGCGACTGATCTCTTAACAAAGAACGTTGCTATGGTGCTCATGGAAATATAGTGGAAGGGACTGATCTGCTTAACATGGAGACATCTTATTTCCAGGTTTAGCTGATGCATGAAACAGCTTCACTTTCTTATTACTCTTACCAGCCCTTATATTAGGTAAAACAGTGTTTTATTCAGAATATCAGAATAGGTACATCAGTTTTGTTCAAGTGGAACTGTGTCCAGTTCACTTTGGTTTTGCTATAGGCCACTTGTTGGAACTAGACCTGAAGATTGGTGGGGACTTTTCTTGATTTTGAGTCTCTTGACTTTCCTCCTGCATTAATAAAAATTTCCTTTTATGGTTTTCTGTCCTTTGCCTTGGCTTTGCAAAGTAAAAATTAAAGAAGGAGAGGGTAGTAAGGAAATTAGAACAGGAATTGCATCATCATAGCATGGCCAGTATGGAAGGGACCGCACTGATATTCCAGCCCAAAACAGACAGCCAGAGAAGGTAATTGGTTTGCCCAATGTCTCAAAGCAAGTTAGTGGCAGAATTGGAACTAGGAATTTAAATCTGTATCTTCAGTCGCCATGTTCTGGGTTGTAAACTGCCTAGTTGACATCTTATCCTGGTTTTCTCAGGCATTCGAATGCAAACATCCACAAATTAACTTTTTATTTTCTTCCTCTAATTCTAAGTTATTGTGATTACCCTGTAACCAGTGACACTGACTGGGAATCTTATGGTTGTCTTTGACTATGCCCTCTGGTCTTCCATTCATTCCAGTCATGTACAAATGTACTTGAACTATCAATGCTAACACATTACATTGTCACTGTTTTTTAAGTTTATTTTGCTGCTTCTGTTGTGAGCTTACATATAATACATGGCTCAGAGTAGGATCTCAATATATGCTATTAAGTGCATGGCTAAATGAAAGATATTTTAGCTTAAATCAGCTGTAGATCAGAAATAATGGATCATAGTTCTTTATTAAGACTGATTTTGCTATGTACAAATGCTACCTGAGAAACCTCATTGAATTATGATTCTGTATTGAGATTTTAAAAATATGTCAGTTAGGATAATCTTTCTGTGTTACAGCTGGGTGGTTTATATATGCTGTAGGTCGTGCCAAAGTTACAGCAAAAACATGGTATACACTCACGCTAACCATTAAGGTAAGTGTTGCTGACCTGGAGGCCTGGAGATAAGGTGTTCTTTTCTTGTGACTGTTTAGAATTTTCTGTTATAAAATGAGAGGGGAAAGTGTGACAAATAATGGAAATAGGCAGGGAGTCTGCTATGGTACCAGTAAACTACCTGCCTCTAGGATGATCTGTATGTCAGGGTAACCCACATGAGAACCGTAAGTGGTTGACTTTATCAGATCACTATTTTTTAAAAAAACAAAAACTTTTTTAAAACAGGGAAGTAATTGGTAAAGTCAATATTTTAACTTTTTTTTTTTTTAAGTTCGCTTGAACAAGGCTATCATGGGAGCTTTTAGGTGTAAACAGAGCCATATAAATTTATTTTTTATGGTTAAGAATAATTTGGTTTTCAACTATATTGCACAATTCTTTAGAAGCTGGTTGAATATTTTTGTCAAAGAAAATACCAGATTAATCTCAGTGTAATGGAAATCTAAAAATATTCATAAAAATCATGGGATGATCACGAGACACTGGTTGACAGTGCTTCTTCCAAGGGAGGCTGTGTGGAGGAATTATTTTCGTATAATGTGCTACTCTCTCCCAAGGCCCTCCTCTCCTAATATTGTTTAGGCTATGATAGAAATTAAGTATATAATTCAGATAACTTTGTTCCCTCTTCCCACTCACCCACTAAAACTGACAGTGCTGACTTTTCAGGGACTAACAACACATGTCGAGGGTCTGGTTTGGATATGATTAGTTTGTTTAACCACACCACACTGCTCAGACCAACTTTGTCCCCAGTTCTTCCTTTTATGGTGAGCAGAGGTTATGCAGGCTGGTTTTCCTTGCCCATAGGCGGGAGGGACCCTAAGCCCACTTGTGCAGTCACTTGTGTCTTTTGTTTAGGTGAATATTTCGAAGTGGAATTGAATTTTGAATTTTAACAGATATTGCCACATGGCTAGCCAAATTGTATCAATTTTTGCAACACTTAAAAAAATATTCAAAATTTTCCAAATGAATGGATGTATTTTTGTTTCCTTGATAACTAGGGAGCTTGCACATCTTGTGTTTATTGGCTATTTGTATTTTCTCTAAGGTTGTCTGTTCACATTCTTTTGTCATTTTTCTATTGTGTTGTCTTTGTCTGATGGATTTTATGTTTTTATTATCTATTCTGGGTAATGACTCATTGTTATCATAAATACATTTTTTTCTCTTCAGTTATGTGTATTTTAATTTTGCTTATAGCATTTTTGGAGAATAGAAATTTTATATTTTGATGCTGTCAAATATTTCACCTTTTTATTGCTTTTGTGTTTCATGTTTTATTTAAGAAGGCCTTTCTTTTTCTCAAGGTTAGGAACATCTTTTCCCAAGACTAGACAGAATTTTAGATTTATTTCTATGTTTAAGTCTTTAATCCATCTGGATTTTATTTGTGAATAGTAAGGAGAAATATATAATTTTTTAAAACAGATAGTTATTGTCATTTATTCCATTAGACTGTTCCTTTGCCTGTGATTTAAAGGCCACTTTTTGCTGGAACAGATCAGTACACGTGCATGGGCTTGTTTCTGAACTTTTCTGTGTTGTTCATATTACTCATTTCATCTATTATTATCTAAAATCACACTTTAAATTGTGCTCGCCTTCTAAAAGCTTTGATGGTATGGTTGTCTCCTCACGTCCCTTAGTTCTTTTCTGACCACCTGTGTAAAATGGCGTCTTGTCTCCCCCTCTGTGCCCTTTAGTTGCTTTTTCTCCAAAGCTTTCACCCACCTGCCATTGTCACACCGATTCTGTCGACGGTCTGTGTGTCTGCCTTCCCTTCATTGTTTCTTTCTCAAAATTGTCTTTGTTATTCTGGCACGTTTACTCTTCCATTTGATATTTTAAAAACAGCTTTTCAGTTCTATAAGAAGTGCTGCCTGTAGGACATTGAATTTGTCCATCAATTTGGGGGAAAAGTAACATTGTTTATGATAATGCGTTTACCTATGCAAGAGAATGGGACAAGGGCGTGCTGTTTCTCACCATTTATTAAGAACTCCCACTGTTCTTTCAGTTTTAGTGTTGTACTTTTTATGTATTTCTGGTTGGCTTATTTTTTAGTAATAAGATTTAATCAATAAAAATTTTAAAATTTGCGTAATACTTGGTAAAAAAATCTAAGGGACTTACTGAAGACAGCTGCCTCCTGCCTCGCCTCTGTCTTTCTCCCCACCCCATTCTGTGTTCTATATGTCTGACCCAGTCACACTTAGCCATGGAACTGTTTCTTCTGGCATGTCTTTAATATAAGGGGCTGTGACTTTTAGAAAGTAGCTATTGTCTTGCTGCTGGATGGCGGGGATTTTGCTGGCTTGCACCCCATCCCCTCCCTGGCCCTCACTATCTTGTGTCCCATCAGCCGTGGGCGTTCTGCTTCGCCCTCGAGTTTCAACTTGACACCCCCTGCCTGAGAGTTGTCCTCCAGCTCTCCAGTCTCCTGGTGCCTGTTGTCACATAGTTGTGTTTTAATTTTTATTTGCCACTTATTTCTTGGGTGTCATATGGTGTGTGTGTGTGTGTGTGTGTGTCTCCTTTGACTAGTATGTAAGCTCTGTAAGAGCAGGGTCCTTTTCTGTCTTGTATATCCTAAATTACCAGTGCATTAAATAGCAAAAACCAAAACAAAACAAAAACAAAAGCAAAAACCAAGGCCACATCTTTTATGCTGTCCATATGCCAAATTACAGGTACTTTTTAAAAAGATGTGGGGTATAATTCAGGGATAGGTATATAAGTGGTCATTGTACAGATGGAGTTCTCATTTTGCCTGGTTTGGGATCAGGCACCCTTATTGATGTTATGTGCCCTGCCCGCCCCCCCATCCCCTGGCAGTGATCTGCCACTGCCAATCTCTTTCATGTAGTATTATGATAAATGTTCAGGGTTCACTTATGAGTGAGAACATATGGTATTCAGTTCTTTGTTTCTGTGATAGTCACTGAGTATGATAGACTCTAAATACATCCAAGTTGCTCTGAAGTCCATAATTTTGTCCTTCTTTATGGCTGTGTAAAATCCCATCATGTATACATACAACATTTTTTTTATCCAGTCTACTTTCGATAGGCAACATGGTTGGTTCCATGTTTTTGCTATTGTGAATAATGCAGCATTTAACATGTGTGCGCAGGTATCTTTTTTATAGAATGATTTGAGTTCCTCTGGGTATATTCTCAGAAGAGGGATTACTAGATCACATGGAAGATGGATTCCTAGGTCTTTTAGAAATCGCCAAACTGTTTTCCCAGAGGTTGTATTAGTTTACACTCCCACCAACAGTGTAGGAGCGTGTCTTTTTCTCTACATCCTCTCTAGCATCTTGTTGTGTTTTGAGTTATTGATGATGGCCATCCTGACTTGAGTTAGGTGGTATCTCAGTGTGGTTTTGATTTGAATTTCTTTGATGATTAGTGAGGCCGAGCATTTTTTCATGTATCTGTTGGCTGCTTATATGTCTTCTTTTGAGAAATGTCTATTCATATCTTTTGCCCACTTTTTAATAGGGCTGTTTGTTTTTTTTCCTTTTGACATGTTTGAGTTCCTTATAGATCCTGGATGTTAGGCCTTTGTCAGATACATAATTGACAAAAATTTTTCCCTTTCTGTGAGCCGTCTCCCCACTCTCTTAATGGTTTCTTTTGCTTTGCAGAAACTTTTCAGTTTGCCAAGGTCCCATTTGTCTGTCTTATATCTCATGGCATGGGTTTTTGGGGTTTTGATCAAGAATTGGTTTCCTATCTCAATTTCTGAATTATAGCTAATAGGAGGATTGTATCATTTGAACATTGGCCATTTGTTGAGTTCTTCTCAGTGCGTGTCTGGTGCTCTTGCACTATTGCACAATGGTTAGAACAATGGATGTTACCGTCTACTGTGTTCCACTTGTAGGTATTCTGTATTGCTCAGCTTCAATTTTCCTGCCCACAACATTGTGGAGAAATACCCTTCTATTGAGGATCCCACAAGACAACTTAGGAAAGTTTGGTATTGTATGTGATATGTGTAAGCACTTAATAAATCAAGTTCATATCCTTAGGAAGAAGAGTGTGTGGAACCAGACAGACCAGCATTCATCTTTCCTTGCTGACACATACTGAGACTCCAGCAAGTTATTACACCTGAGTGTCTGTTTGCTTATCTGTAAAATGGAGATAACTTCTGTGGGGTTGTTTTGGAGATAATTTCTGGTGAGCTGTGACTGGTGTTGTTGTGATAATAACAATACAAGCCAACATTTCCTGTCCATCGTGTGCAGGGCACTGAGCTAGCTAGAATGGCAGCCTCTTGGCAACCTTCTGAGTGTTGAAATGTGTTCCATTCTTTTATTTGGCATACTTTTATTAAGCCCTTACTGTATGCACTTTCCTAAATGCTAGAGATGCAGCAATGAACAAGACACACTGGACTCTTGCTCTGTTAGAACGTGTTTGCTTCTAGGATGGGACTTGACAAGGCTTTTCTGTCAAGGACCAGATAGTAAATATTTTAGACTTTGTGGACTATGTGGGCTCTGTTGCAGCTACTCAAGTGTGCTGCTGTAGTGAGAAAGCCTCTCAGGTGATGGGTAAATGAACAATGTGGCTGTGATCCAGTAAGATTTTATTGACAAAAATAGGTGACTGGACTGTGACCCCTATCCTTAGACAGAAAAATTGCAAATAAGTACATAAATAATTATGAAGGGCCTTGTATATAGTGGGCTATGCCTGTAATCCCAGCATTTTGGGAGACTAAGGCAGGAGGATTGCTTGAGGCCAGGAGTTCGAGGCCAGCCTGGGAAACATGGTGAGACCTCTCTGCAAAAAAATCAAAAAAAGTAGCTGGACGTGTGCACATACCTGTAGTCCATGCTACTTGGGAGGCTGAGGCAGAAGGATTGCCTGAGCCCAGGAGGTCAAGGCTGTGGTGAGCCATGATCATGCCACTGTGCTTCACCCTGAGCAATAGAGTGAGACTCTGACTCAAAAAAAAAAAAAAAAAAAAGAAGATAATCATAGTTGTGAAGGAAAAAAATGGAGCAGTGAGATAAAGCAGCTTCCCTGTCCTGGTTCTCTAACTAGGGAAGTCAGGGACGATCTTGCTGAGTTGGTAACATTTGAGCTGGGTCCTCAGTATGGGAAGTACAATCTGAGAGACCACACAGCTGGTGCCAGAGGCAGGGGCTGGCCCTATGTGGGAGCAGCCAGGAGGCCAGTGTGGCTGTGGCTGGGGGAGTGCGGGGGAGGTGGACTTGGGTGTGGTGAACAGTTCTGTACTTGCTATGGTTTGCGTATACAAGCCCCTTGGCTCAGTGTTAGTATTCAGCATTCTCTAGTGGTGGAAGATGTTCCATAAACACTCTCGGAGCTGAGGATCACCGTGCAGGGCTGTAGGAGTAGGAATGTGCGATAGGAATGTGTAGGAACAGGAACATGGCTCTGCATTTGGAGTTGGGTGAGAGAATGACAATAAAAGCTGGCATTTCCCGCTCACTGTATGCCAAGCACTGAGCTAGCTAGAACAGCAGCCTCACGGCAGCCTTCTGAGAAGACACCACTTTTTCCTTTCTTGATGGTGACAACTAGTAACTCATACTGTATGGATACTTCGCTTCATCCACCTACCTTCCCCTGCTCCACCCTCAGCCTAATGATGCTTCCTGTGTTTCCAGCTTAAGGGTAGGAGTTTCATATGGCTTTGAAGTGATATTCTGTACATGGAAACAAAACACAAAACCAAGGTTAATTCCTCCTCTTCTGGCTGAGCAGAGGCTCCTTAAGTAGATCTTAAATCAACAGTTGTGGAGGCAGGTGTTGTGGCTCCAGCAGTCCTGTTTAAAGGGCAGTTAGCTGATGACCACCACACCTGGACACACAGTTACTTGTACATAACTAATGTTTTCTTTATTGTGATGGGCTTTTGTCTAAAACCTTATTATACAAATATTACGAAAAGTTTTGCAATTTTGTTGGTTTTACATCTTGGTGGAGCACAAGGAAATGCTGAGATATTTCTTTGTATCTTGGGAGCAATTTAGATGTAGGTAGGTAAGAATTTCCTTGCAGAAAATTGTTTCTGTATTTTAAACTTTCCTGTATTTAAAATTTTTTTCTGTATTTTAAACCTTTTGCTTACTTTTTTTCCCCTGTATTTTACGGAACTGTGTTTTGCTGTGGTAAGTCTTGAGTGAGTCGCCTCCACTAAGTAGGTAGTCTTTGCATCATTAAGAAACAGACTCCAGAGCATTATTTCTATATGGTTTCAAAGGATGCGTTTCTCTCTTCCTAGGGTCGATTCACCTCAGGCATGTTGAATGACAAGTCTCTGTGGACAAACATCCCTGTGAATTTTCCGAAGAATGGCTGGGCTGCGATTGGAACTCACTCCTTTGAATTTGCACAGTTTGACAACTTTCACGTGGAAGCCACACGCTAACACTAATAGGGCTTTCTAGAGCACTCTTTGGATTTTCTTTTTTTTTGTTTGGTTCAGAACCAGTACTTGTTTTGATAGACAATATACGAGCCTTTGGAAGCTAAAAATAATGAAGAGTAAATAGGGAGGAAAAAATGTTTTTGCTTGATCCTGTGGAAGGTTTTATCAGAAGTAACTCTAAGGGGAAAACAGGTGAATCTTCAACATTACCTGGTGTGTTCCCTAAAATGCAGTCTGTGCGTCAGTCCAGCGTAGGAGTGGTTTGAGGGGTTTGGACCTGGAAGCCTTGGTGCTGACACTGCAGTGGCTCCCTTGTTTTGAGTGATCCTGCTGATGGCAGTCACTGATCCTTATGGAGACGCATTCGTGAGTGCTGACCATGTGCCCAAGTGAGCTGGTGTCCTGTCCTGAGATGATGCTGCTGTGATGGAAAGCCAGAGAACACTGGAAGTAGCTTTTTGAAAACCACCTCAATGTATTATCCTTACAATCCAAAAAGTATTTGTTTCTTTTCCTTTTTAGATGATGCTTTTTAATTATGTATATGAGTGAGATGACTAAAAAACTATTAATAAACTACCTCTAATGCTGTTTCTGCAGTAATAAATATTAGCTAATTAACTGGGTTATTTGCATTCCTTAATTCTTTTGATTCCAGCTTTTAGTCTTGTAACCCTTATGTCTCTCCATGAACATTGTCCCAGGTGGCTGAATAAGGAAGAAACCCATATAGTCAATGCTATGAGGGAGTCTAGAGGCAAGGCTGTAGTGCTTTCCCGTCACATTCACAGTGCCTTCTGTGGCCTGTCCTCACGTGTGCACTGGGAGCAGATCTAGACATTAAAGCATGCTGTTGCCTCCTTATGCGGAAGGAAGGGAACACAGCCTTTTTCTAGCTCGTAGAATTTGATCATCTCCCAATGTTGTGTATGGTTAGAGTAACTGCTTTCTTGAAAGTTCAAATGTGTGTGTATTTAAGTATGGGTGAGCATGTTTCTCATGTAGTATGATTTATATTTTAACATTGATGTAGCTCTAAGAAGCAAATCAATTATTCATGTGGATAAAATACATTCTGGAATTCTTTATAAGAACAATTATTCATTGAACTCATTCTACGATTTAGGAATTTTTAAGAGTCTAACACAGGCTTAGCTACAATTAAGTTTTGCCTTATTTTTGAAGACAAGAAGCTGATTACTAGAATAAATCGAATTATAGAGAAAAATTTAAAACCAATTCAAAAGTGATTTCCGGTTCAGATCTCTTTTTTTAAAAGTAACATGTTAGAGATATCGTTTATGTACAATAGAGTGTACATAAATATTAAGTGTACCAATCAGTGAATTTTGTTAAATGAAAGTACTCATGAAACCAACACTCCAGTCAAGCTATCGAATATTTTCATCACCCCAGAAAGTTATTTTGTACACTCGTGCAGAAGGTTCCTCTTACTTCAATCTCAGGCAAACCATTGATATGATCTCTATCCTCATAGATGAGTTTTCTTTGTCCAAAACATCATAAAAGTGACATCAAATGTGACATACTTTTATGAATATTTTCTCTCAGCGTAATGCTTTTGAGATGTGTCCATGTTGTTATGTTGGTGCTTCGTTCCTTCTTATTTATGAAGAGTATTGCATTGTATGAATATACCACAATTTGTCCTTCCTCCCCCAGTTTTCGGTATTACAAGTAAAGCTCTTATCCACATCTATATGCTCTTTATCTGGAGGAGGTTTTCTTTTTTTTTGAGTTGGAGTCTCACTCTGCCACCCAGGCTGCAGGGCAGTGGCATACTCATGGACACCCCAGCATCGACCTGCTGGGCTCCGGCGATCCTTCCCTCTCAGCCTTCCAAGTAGCTGGAACTACAGGTGTGGTATGCGTTACCATGCCTGGCTAATTTTTTGATTTATTGTAGAGACAATGTCCCACCATGTTGCCCAGACTGGTCTCGAACCTGTAGGCTCAGACAATCCTCACCTTGGCCTCCCAAAGTGCTGGGATTACAGGCTTGGAGAGTTTTCTTTTATTTTCAGCTTGCTGAGATATTTAATGTGAATGGGCACTTAATGCATTTAATACTTTTTCTACATCTAATGAGACAGCTGTATGATCTTTCTCCTTCATTCTGTTAATGTGGTATATTAGATTGATTTTCAAATATTAAAGCAGCTTTGCATTCCTGAGATGTGTCATGATTGAGTGGGGTTTATTAACCTGTTTACATATTGGTGGATTGGATTTGTCAATATTTGGCTAAGGGTGTTTGTGTCTATGTTCATGCAGAATATAGGTCTAGTTTTATTTTATCATAATTACCTGGTTTTGTTAACAGGGTGATACCTTATAAATTCAACTGAAAATATTTTCTCCTCCTTTATTTTCCAAAAGAGTTTGTGAGTTTCTTAAATCTTAGATAGAATTCAGTTGTATCCGTCAGGATCCAGTCAGGAGACAGAAACCATACCAGGAAAAACTTAACATAAATAATGATTACCTTAATATGAATAATTATTAACTAGTAATGGGATTAATTACTAAAGGGTAACGAGAACTTCAAAGGATACAGAAACAGCAGATACAGACCAGCCACTTCCTGGACTGGGGCCGAGTAACCATGGAAGGATCAAATGAAGAAGAGATCTTTCTCAGGAGGCTGAGAGTAGGATCTCATTGAAGATGGTATGGTGTGACCTGGGATGGCAAAGACGTTTGTTTGCTGAGATACTGTGTGCTGGAGCTGGCATCTGCCTTCTGATACTGTGTGCTGGAAACTGCCTTCTGGGGTGTGGTTGAGACTCATTGAGAAGCCTCCTGGAGTGCTGCTGAAACTCACTAGGAGCCTATCCTCTTGTGGTGCTGGTGAGACTTTGTGGGAAGTGACCTACTGAGGTGTTGGAACCAGCCTTTGATTTTTTTTCTGTTGCTTCTTTGTTTTGTGTTTCATTGATGGCTACCTGTATCTTTATTATTTGTTCTCTTACTTCAGCATTACATTTTTTCTTATTCTAGCTCCTTAAAATGTAAGGTTAGTTCTTTGATTTTTAGGTCTTCTTTTTTTTTATTTTGAGATGGAGTCTCACTCGGTCGCCCAGACTGGAGTGCGGTGGCCGCTCCCGGCCACTGCAGCCTCGCCTGCTGGGCTCCAGCGATCCTTCCGCCTCAGCCTTCTGAGTAGCCGGAATTACAGACATGCGCTACCACGCCCAGCTGATTTTTTTTGATTTATTGTAGAGATGAGGTCTCACTGCCCAGGCGGGTCTCGAACCTGCGGGCTCAGGCAATCCACTCACCTCAGCCTCCCAAAAGCGTGGGATTACAGGCTGAGCCACCGAGCCCGGCTAGATCTTCTTCTTTAATGTAAGCATTTGAAATTACAGTTTTCTCTAAGCACCAATTTAGTTGCGTTTCACGTTATTCCTATTTTTAAAATTTCATTCAGTTCAAAGTGTTTTCTAATTTTTAAAAATAATTTTTACCTTCGTGCTAATTAAAGTTTTGATGTTTAATTTTCTAATATTTGAGGATTTTCCAGATCTTTTTATCATTGATATTTAATCTTGCTGTGGTTAGAGAATATGTTGTGTTTTAATTCAACCACTTTGAATGTATTTAGACTTGTTTTATGACCCAGTTGGTCTTAGTCAATGTACCCTTTAAAAAAACTCACTTTTTGCAATGAATGGCTGTAATGTGCTACAAATATTAATTAATTAGGTCATGTTGATGGATAGTATTGTTTAAGACATCTATGTACTCATTTATTTTCTGTCTACTTGTTCCATCAATTACAGATTAAAAATCTCCAGATACAATTGTGTGTTTTCTATTTCCCCTTTCATTCTTACAGATTGATCTTTTGGGGCTTTCCAGCTCTAGAATAACCGTTATTCTCCAGGCATGAAATTTCATGGGAGTTGAATGAGTTCTTGCTACTGTGGTTGTTTAGATTTTGAACATCTCTCACTCCTGTGAGAATTTTGGTAGTAGTTCAGCTAACGGGTTCCTGTTAATGATTCTTTTCCTGACCTATGGGTTTCACACTTTGGAAATGTAGCTTAGTTTAGAGCCAAAGACACACATAGACCCCCCTCCAAGATTTCTGGACCTCCTTTTTTATTAGTTTCACACAAAAGTAATTTTGGTTTTTGCATTGTTGCCATTTGATATTGTAATATATTCTTAAATAAATGTCATTTTATACATTATTTTAATATACAGTTTTTTTTTTGCTAATGACATTACTGTTTATGTTTATTTTAGACTATGGAAATGATATTAGATAAAAAGCAAATTTGAGTAGTTTTTTTAGTTCAAAATGGATCGTAAAGCAGCAGAGACAACTTGCAGCATCAGCAACACATTTGGCATGGGAACTGCTACCGAACATACAGTGCAGTGGTGGTTCAAGAAGTATTGCAAAGGAGACGAGAGCCTTGAAGATGAGGATTGTAGTGACCAGCCATCGGAAGTTGACAATGACCAATTGAGAGCAATCATTGAAGCTGATCCTGTTACAACTATATGAGAAGTTGCCTAAGAACTTAACATCAGCCATTCTATGGTCATTTGGCATTTGAAGCAAATTGGACAGATGAAAAAACTTGATAAATAGGTGCCTTGTGAGCTGACCAAAAATAAAAAAATTCATCCTTTTGAAGTGTCATCTTTTCTTATTCTACACAACAATAACAAAGCATTTCTCCATAGGATTGTGATGTGTGATGAAAAGTGAATTCTGTATGATAACCGGTGACAACCAGCTCAGGGGCTGGACTAAGAAGAAGCTTCAAAGCACTTTCCAAGGCCAAACTTGCATTAAAAAAAGTCATAGTCATTGTTTGGTGTCTGCTGTTGGTCTCATCCACTACAGCTTTCTGAATCCTGGCGAAACCATTACATCTGAGAAGTATACTTAGCAAATCAATGACATGCACTGAAAACTACAATGCCTGCAGCCGGCATTGATCAACAGAAAGGGCCCAGTTGTTCTCCACAACAATGTTCAACCACAGTTGCACAACCAATGCTTCAAACGTTGAATGGAGCATTCCCTTTTCTCCACATCTTTACCGGCAATTTTTTTTTTTTAAATTAATGAAGGCCATTCTTACTGGAGTTAGGTGGTATCTCAATGTGGTTTTGATTTGCATATCTCTGTTGATTAGTGAGGCTGAACATTTTTTCATGTGTCTGTTGGCTACTCATATGTCTTCTTTTGAGACATGTCTATTCTGTCTTTTGCCCACTTTTTAATGGGGCTGTTTATTTTTTTCCTTTTGGCATGTTTGAGTTCCTTGTAGATCCTGGATATTGGGCCTTTGTCAGATATACAGATGGCAAATATTTTTTCCCATTCTGTGGGCTGTCTCCTTGCTCTCTTGAGGGTTTTTTTTTTTTTTTTTTACTTTGCAGGAGCTTTTCAGTTTGATGTGGTCCCACTTGTCAATCTCATCTCTTGTAGCATCAGCTTTTGGAGTTTTGACCAGGAGTTTGTCTACTCCAATTTGTGTAAGGGTGTCTCCTGAATTTTCTAAGATTATTAACATTTGAGGTTTTATGTTTTACGTTTAGGTCTACACTGTTGGTGGGAATGCAAAGTAGTTTAGCCTCTGTG